GGGGGGGCACCAGTTATCAGCGGTAAAACTATCGAGAAAATGGCCGCCGCACTGTGATGACTTCGACAGCTTCAGGGTACGTGGAAACTGAAAACTTCTGTTTTAGTAAGAGTTTCACGGCACTTACAACACAATGAGGTCATATAAGATTAGAAGTGTCACAAGAGAGTAACAAACACAAAAAAGGAGGGGAGATAAAGACGATAGATGTTCGACAGGAAAGAAGGAGCAAGCCACAGTAGAGCACCCACCAACTACTCACATTGAAAATTTTCACATTTTGTAACTTTAATCACCGTTTTTCAATTAAATCCTTACATAAATGTGCTTTTAAATGGACATGAAAAGTGTTAAATAAAAAACAAAATGTCTATTAAAATTGCCAAAACGACGAGAATATGCCGGTTTCTTTGATATCCTTAGTTTGATGAGCGCCTGATTTTACCATGATGTCTCACAAATAGATTGTGCCAACCGGTGTCTAGCTATGGTGTAATGGTTTCGCATTTCGATGTCGCAAGCAAGAGTCCCGAGTTCGGTGACCGAGCGGAAAGAAAATTGATTGCTCTCTGCTGGGATGTTGTATCTCTCTCAGCCTCCGTTAGCCCTGACAGGCAGGTTTGGACATCTGCATCCTAAGTGATCTACTAGCGTATTTTTAAAATATTCAAAATACTGTTAGTTCGATTCCCATTTTTGGATATGTATAATCCACTATACCCGGTTTGGGGTGGGTCTTTGTTTTTTATTTGTTTTGGGGTTTTTTTTTGTTGTTTTTTTGTTTAAGTGATAGTTCAACCAGTTTGTAGAGAAACAGGCCGAAACAAGCCGCATCTACAACGATCCAACGTATTTTGATGAATACCTGAAATATATACAAAATCTATTTTATACCATCGGCACACCTACAAACATTCGACATTTAAAATCACAAACATTGTGATAAAGATGTTATACCTGCTATATTATTAAAGATTCAATACCCTAGAGAACTATAACTACAGTAAAACGGGAAGAGGGGAAAAGAGAAGATTAATTTGCCTAGAAAACGTACGCAGCATAATAATGTTCGTCGGAGAATTATGGGTATTCAAGTGTGCTAGTAGGTGGTTGACGGGTGTTCTAATGGGGTTTGCTCCTTTTCTCTTATCAAACAGCTACCGTCCTCATCTCTCCCTCTTCTCTTCTTTGTATGTTACTCATCAATGACACATCTAATCTTGGGCACATATATGATGTAATTGTGTTACAAGTGCCGTAAAACGTTTACTACAACTAAACAAGTATGTTATTCTACCATTTCAGGTGTTGCACATCCAGTTGGTGTGCAGTATGTATTCTATCGTAAACCCCGTGCCAAAAAGTAAAAAAAGCGTGGCAAGCGGGGGGGATGGGGTGGAAAAAGGGAGGGGGTGGAGTTGGGAGGATGAATTCACGGATGATATTACCACCAGGGAGTGCTCTCACATAACCCTTTTCAACCCTTGGAGCGAGGGTTACAAAAGGGCTGTACATCAAAGTTGTCATTTTTTAACACTTCAAAAGAAGTGTTCCTATGCCAGGGCTCCTTCCACAACAAAAAGTGAGGCGCATGTAAAGGACGGTTCCGGAACGAGATCTCAAAAGAATTATTGCCTTTTTTTACTTGCACGCAATCGCGTAATGTTTTTGAAGGAACAAAAGCGAAAGGATTAGAAACCAGCTCGTGGAGCATTGTAGATAACTATATATATATATATATATATATATATATATATATATATATATATATATATATATATATATATATATATATATATATATTCAAAGCATCCTGCTTCTATTATTACAGAGCCCAACGTCAAAAACTTTTATAAAGGTAGATCTACAAGTTCATGCAGAAGCTGTAAGAAAAGTAAAACACACACACACACACACACACACACACACACACACACACACACACACACACACACATACACACACATATGCACACACATATGCGCACATACACCCCCCTCATATACACTCACATACACACACATATGCACACACACACACTCACGCACACACATACACACACTCATACACACTCACAAAGGTACACTTGGGCCACACACACATACACGCACACACACGCACACGCGCACACACACACACACACACACACACACACACATACTCACCCATACACACACAAGCAAAGGCACGTTTGCCTTTATGTGTGTGTGTGTGTGTGTGTGTGTGTGTGTGTGTGTGTGTGTGTGTGTTTGAGTGTGTCTGTGTGTGTCTGTGTGTGTCTGTGTGTGTGTTGCTGTGTACTGACTAACCGTCTCCTCCCCTTTGTTCTCGCTTTTCCGTTTTCATCGAACAGAAAATGACCGAAGTTCATAGCAGCAAGAGAATCCCATCAAATAATAATTAAGAACATATAAAAGTCGTTTAGCAAGGATATAAGGTCACAGCTATGTGAGTTAGTAATGCATTTAGACTTATTGTGAGTGGTTAATCCAACAACATAGACTATAATTTGTCAAGACGAAACGGCCACGTTAAGGAGAGGGCTTTACCCTCCAGCCTTTGCAAAAACACGTAGATCTACACTTCAATACAGCCAAAATTCACTTTCAAAAGAAATTACACTCTTACACTCTTATAAAAAAAATAATGTAAGAAATTGTACGTTTCAGTTCCGAGGTGGCGAATTTTTTTACGAAGTCTAACTAAAAACAATATTAATCTGACATCTATTGACGATATGACTCGCAGAACTAGAGTGATGCCAGGGTGTCAAGTTTTCCTGATATTTGCCTTTTTCCTTTCGGTGGATATCAGTCTTTGTGATGTTGTAATAGGTGTGGGTCCATGTCCGACCCCGGACCCTAAGCAAGATTTTAACAGGACAGAGGTAAGAACTTTGTATTCATAATTTCTGATAAATACTTATTGGACCCTAATTTTCATTTTTTTTTTCTTCAGAATTCGGGAAATCATATTAACACAATTTTTTGGTGTTTTTGTTGATATTTGTATTTTGGTTTTTGTATTTTATTTTTTTAGTTTATTTCACTTATTTTTGGGGGGAGGGGGGAATAGATAAGCTAGAGAGTCCACTTTGATTATTCAGACTCCTGCGCGACTATGTTCCACTTTTAATTATGTTTGTCTGTCTTCACTTCCCTTGGTATCAACAGACCAGAGAATAGACACTTGTTAAAACACCTTTTCCTTATCGAACTAATTTTACATTTTAATAACGGTAAAATAAAAAAAACTATTACACTACAGAAACTGAAGGTGTGTTGTTTAAGTTAAACACCTAAACCCTAGCTTAAAATTGCGATGCATTCCAACCACCAATAATATTGTGTTTGTGTGCATTTGATGGTTATTTTCATGTTCTATTTCAAGTTAAACCCGTTTTCTTTCTCCGCGTTTCTAATTTTGGGTGCCATGTTAATGATCTTATTCAACTGAAATAGTCATTGACTTTAAGAATGTGAAAAAGTAAATACAATGATATTATTTCAATAAAAAGAGGAAATAAATAAGCTCATGGTCAAAGATAACGAGACCTCTTTGCTAGCACATTTCATTTGATCTTTTGTTGTTATCTATTCCAGTTGTCATAATCTGTCCACATTGTTTGGGTATTTTTAACATTCTAATACTATGCCATTTAACATGTCATTGTATGACCATACCACGATGTCTGACAGAAAAATAATAGTTTATTATCTTTTTCTTTCCTTTTATATCTCTGAGGGCATGCTCGCTAACGTTTCTAATAATGGAGCGTATCAATTTATAGTCTCCGTAGGTCATTTAACGCAGGCTACTATAAAAATGTAATCCATTAATTGAATGGACTGATCTTTCTTGGTTGATCTACAATTTGAATGATCCTGGCTGGATTCATCATAGAAACGTTTTAAGAATAGCTTGTTTGGGTATTCTTTAAATTCTCCTTTCTCCTGGTACTTTTCATAAAGGAGAAGGGCACATAAATTAATTTTTGAATTCCCATAAATTTTTTAGCCTTGCAATGTTGAACCACGAGTCAAACCCATACCATACCTTACCATACCATACCATACCATACCATGCCATACCATACCATACCATACCATACCATACCATACCATACCATACCATACCATACC